GTGCAGTGGCACACTCACAGCCACCCCAGCGTCAACCTGCTGGGCTCCAGCGATCCTTCCACCTCAGCCTTCCAAGTAGCTGGAACTACAGGTGCACGCTACCGCGCCAGGCTAATTTTTTTTATTTATTGTAGAGATGAGGTCTTGCCAAGTTGCCCAGGCTGGTCTTGAACCCGCGGGCTCAGGCAATCCATTCGTCTCAGCCTCCCAAAGTGCTGGGCTGACAGGCTGAGCCACTGAGTCAGGCCAGAACTGAATTCTTTTTTTTTGAGTTGGAGTCTCACTCTGTCACCCAGACTGGAGTGCAGTGGCTGCTCCCGGCCACCGCAGCCTCGACCTGCTGGGCTCCGGCGATCCTTCCACCCTAGCCTTCCAAGTAGCCGGAATTACAGGCATGCGCTACCACGCCCGGCTGATTTTTTAATTTATTGTAGAGATGAGGTCTCCCTGCCCAGGCGGGTCTCGAACCCGCGGGCTCAGGCAATCCACTCACCTCAGCCTCCCAAAGGCACGGGATTACAGGCTGAGCCACCGAGCCTGGCTCAGAACTGAATTCTTACATTTATTTTTGTTGGGGGTCTCACTCTGTTGCCCAGGCAGTGGCACACTCACAGCCACCCCAGCACTGGCCTGCTGGGCTCAGGCGATCCTCTCACCTCCGCCGGAACTACAGGTGTGCGCTACCACGCACGACTAATTTTTGACTTACTGTAGAGACGAGGTCTCGCCAAGTTGCCTGGGCGGGTCTCGAACCCGCGGGCTCAGGCAATCCACTGGCCTCAGCCTCCCAGGTGCTGGGATGACAGGTTGAACCTCCAAGCCGGCCTCCTGCTGGAACTCTTGGTGGGGGGAAGGGTGGCCTCTTCCAGGAAGCCTGTTCCCCACTCCACGTTCTTGTGCCTCTCAAAGACTGAGCCGCAGGGGCTGGGGCAAAGGTGTGAGTGAGGGGGCAGCACTCCAAGGAGTGACTACGAGCAGGTGCCAAACTGTGACCGCACACATTTGTTGACCTGCTTCTTGAACCCAATATATCATGGACATTTTCCAAGTTGACACCCAGAGCAGTGAGTCTCAGGATGTTGTCTCAAGTCCCGGGAACTTGTTAGAAATGCAAACAGTCGGGCTCGGTGGCTCAGCCTGTAATCCCGCGCCTTGGGAGGCTGAGGTGAGTGGATTGCCTGAGCCCGCGGGTTCAAGACCCGCCTGGGCAACTTGGCGAGCTCTCATCTCTGCAGTAAATCAAAAATCAGCCGGGTGTGGTAGCGCGTGCCTGTAGTTCCAGCTACTTGGAAGGCTGAGGCGGAAGGATCACCAGAGCCCAGCAGGTCGAGGCTGCGGTGGCTGGGAGCGGCCAGTGCACTCCAGTCTGGGTGACAGAGACTCCAACTCAAAAAAAAAAAAAAAGAAAAGAAATGCAAACTCTCAGCCGAGTGCAGCGGCTCACGCCTGTAATCCCAGCACCTTGGGAGGCGGAGGCGAGAGGATTGCCTGAGTCCAGGGGTTTGAGACCAACCTGGGTAACATGGTGAGACCTCCTCTCTACAATAAATAAAAAGATTTAGTGCATGCCTGTAGTTCCGGCTACTTGGAAGGCTGAGGCGGAAGGATCGCCGGAGCCCAGCAGGTCGAGGCTGCGGTGGCTGGGAGTGTGCCACTGCACTCCAGTCTGGGCAACAGGGTGAGCCTCTGAATAAAAAAAAAGAAGAAATGAAAACTCTCCGGCCCCATCTACTTAATTGGAAACTCAGAGTTCTTAATTTTAACTATTCCTTTGAGTAAGGAGTTGGCAAACACTCACCTTAAGGGTCAAATCCAGCCTGCTACTTGCTTTTGAAACTAAAGTTTAAAGGAACTCGGGTCAGCCATGATGGCTCAGGCCTGGAATCTCAGCATTTTGAGAGGCTGAGGTGGAAGGAACACTTGAGGCCTGGAGTTGGAGAGCAGCTTGGGCAATATAGAAAGACCCTGTCTCAACACAAAAGTTAAAAAATAAAATAAAACTAGGCTGGGCACAGTGGCTTACAGCTGTAATTCCAGTGCTTTGGGAGGCCGAGGTGAGAGGATTGCCTGAGCCCACGGGTTTGAGACCAGCCTGGGTTACTTGGTGAGACCTCAGCTCTACAATTAAAAAAAAAATTAGCAGGGCATAGTGGTGCACCCCTGTAGTCCCAGCTACCTGGGAGGCTGACGTGGGAGGATCGCTTGAGCCCACAAGTGGGAGGCTGCAGTGAACCATGATCGCATCACTGCATTCCAGCCTGGGTGATAGAGTGAGACCCTAACTCAAAAAAAAAAAAAAAGAAAAGAAACCCAGCCAGGCTTATTCATTTCCATACTTCAGGTGATTGCCTGCTACACAGACAGAGCTGAGTGGCAGTGACAGAGAAGTCTGGACTGCTAAGCTTCTACAGAGAGGTTTGCCCAACTGGGTGATTCTGCGTCAAGCTGAAATTTGAGAACGACTGGTCTAGAGAGTTATTTCCTCCCTGAATTTCAGAGGCTGGATGGGACTCCTTTCCATGACGTTCCATGGCAGGGCTAAGCTGTACCCGTGATTGGCCACTGGACTCTCCAGTTTCCAAAATTAGACACATCCTCATAACACACCTTTTTGCTCTCACCCAGTGATCTCCCGTAGATGAAATTCCTAGAACTGGCTGGGTGTGATGGTTCATGCCTGTCAACCCAGCACTTTGGGAGGTGGAGGCAAGAGGATTGCCTGAGCCCAGGGGTTCGAGAGCAACCTGGACAACTTGGAGAGACCTCGTTTCTACAATAAATAATAATAAGAAGAAATAGCCAGGTGTGGTGGCACATGCCTGTAGTCCTAGCTACTTGGGAGGCTGAGGTGGGAGGATCGCCTGAGCCCAGCAAGTCAAGGTTGCAGTGGCAAGGATTGTGCCACTGCATTTCAGCCTGGGTGACACAGTGAGATCCTGACTCGGAAAAAAAAAAAAGAAGAAGAAAAGGAATTTGGCTAGGCTCGGTGGCTCAGCCTGTAATCCCAGCACTTGGGGGCCAAGGCGAGTGGATTGCCTGAGCCCGTCAGTTCAAGGCCAGCCTGGGCAACTTGGTGAGACCTCATCTCTACAATAAAAAAAAAAAAAATTAGCCAGGCATGATAGGGTGCGTCTGTAGTTCTAGCTACTTGGAAGGCTGAGGCAGAAGGATCGCTGGAACCCAGCAGGTCAATGCTGGGGTGGCCGTGAGTATGCCACTGCACTCTAGCCTGGGGGACAGAGTGAGACTCCAACTCAAAAATGAAACAGAAAAAGAAACGTTACTGTGTTAATGTCATGGTTTAAATTCTTTTTTTTTTTTTTGAGGTGGC